ATGGGGGAGAGTGAGACAGCGATGGGGGAGAGTGAGTTTTGGATGGGTGAGAGTGAGACAGGGATGGGTGAGAGTGAGACGGGGATGGCGGAGAGTGAGACGGGGATGGGGGAGAGTGAGACGGGGATGGGAGAGAGTGAGACGGGGATGGGAGAGAGTGACACAGCGATGGGAGAGAGTGACACAGCGATGAGGGAGAGTGAGACGGGGATGGGGGAAGAGTGTGACAGGTACGGGGGAGAGTGAGACTGCTCACTCTCACACCTTCTACTGCCCCCACTCTAACCTCTCTCCTCGTCACCCCCTCTGAGCCCCTGATGTATTAATTGCCCAGTTTGTTCTATTGCAGGATAACGAAGTGGACTGTATCGGTGTGGGCACTAACCTGGTGACATGCCCATTGCAGCCATCCCTGGGCTGTGTCTATAAGGTACAGAGTGAGATGTTGAATGCTGCACCTTACAGAGCGGGAACCTTTACTCCCCATTGTTGTTGTGTGGGTCATGAACATCCCTGTTTGCCTTCCGTGTGTAACTGCCCTTTGATCTTCCCTTTGGTCACCTGTTTCAGGGGGTTTTTGGGAGTCAGCCACATGGCTGTGGGTCTGGAGTCACATGTCATCAGACTGGTCCCAGCCATGGAGCTCCGCACTCGGATTGATCCCTATGATGGAGCTTTTGCTTGGACCGATCCCTGTGACAGACCTCTGTCCCTGGATAGATCCCCGTGATGGAGCTCTATCCTCAGACCGATCCCTGTGATGGAGCTTGATCCTCAGACCGATCCCCGTGATGGAGGTCCATTCCCAGACCAATTCTTGTAACTGAGCTGCATCTCTCCAGACCAATCCCTGTGATGGAGCTCCATCCTCAGACCGGTCCCTGCGATGGAGCTCTGTACCTAGACCGATCCCTATGATGGAGCTCTGTGCTTGGACCGATGGCTGTAATGGACCTCCGTCCCTGGACAGATCCCCGTGACGGAGCTCTGTCCTCAGACCGATCCCTGTGATGGAGCTCCATCCTCAGACCAATCCCTGTGATGGAGTTCTGTCCTCAGACTGATTCCTGTGATGGAGCTCCATCCTCAGACCAATCGCCATGATGCAGCTCTGTCCTCAGACTGATCCCTGTGATGAGTTCTGTCCTCAGACTGATCCCTGTGACAGATCTCCTCTGATTTGAGATTAAGGGAGATTTGTCCCTTGTGAGCTCTCATTGTTCGGATTCACTGACCGATGGCAGATATCTCGGCCGTTCACTTCCCTAACAACCACAAATCTGGGATCTGGGATTTCCCTGAGTCCCGACCCTTGCACTGGGATCTAACACTCACTGCTCTTTACCCTGCAGCTGTGCCAGGTCGATGGAAAAGCTCGGATCAAAGTGACGGAAGACGAAGGGAAAATGACTCTCCCGGGAAAGAAAGCCGTTTACAGACTGTACGGCCCTGACGGTGAGAATCAGCAAGGCCCGAGTCAGGAGACCGGGGAACCGGGAATAATGACCGGCTCAGCCTGGGACATAATCCAGTTCCCCCACCCACTGCCCCTGGGCTGTCCCTCTCACCTCACCTCTGGAATCCAGCTCTTTTGTCCATGTTTGAACCAAGGCTGTAATGAGGTCTGGAGCTGAGTGACCCTGGCGGGACCCAAACTGGGCGTCACTGAGCAGGTTATTGCTGAGTAGATGCTGCTTGATAGCACTGTTGGTGACACCTTCCATCACTTTACTGATGATCAAGAGGAAACTGATGGGGCGGTAATAGACCGGGTTGGATTTGTCCTGCTTTTTGTTCACAGGACATACTGGGGCAATTTACCACATTGTTGGGTAGATACCAGTGTTGTAGCTGGAAGAGGCTGATGGAGTTACACTGAGCCAACACTAGTTTTTTGTTGTGTAACACGTTTTATACCTCAATGTTTTAGAATGTCTGGTCCACATTTGAAGCTCTAGCTTCCAGCAACTCCAGATTTATTTGAAATCACAGGCTTTCGGAGCATTGCTCCTTCGTCAGGTGAAGCACTTGGTGAAGGGACAATGCTCCAAAAGCTTGTGATTTCAAATAAACCTGTTGGTCTACAATGTGATGTTGTGTGATTTCTGACTTTGTCCACCCCTGTCCAACACCGGCATCTCTACAACTCCAGATTTTTTTTTTCAACTTTTCTCTGAATCCACACCTAGGTTTAACTAGTTAAGCACAGTGGGCATCAATCATAAACAGACCAATACAATCAAATGCAGAACTGCTGCACCTATTACCATGACATTAAAAGAAACATTTCAAATCGAAATGTTGCTCAGATGTCTGAGGAGGTGCATGGGATAGTTTGGTGGCTTTTATTCACCAGCACAGATGGGTTGAAGGTCTCTGCTGCAGGTCTCTGTAACAGCAGCTGGGGTTTGGGGGATAAATGCAGGTTAAAGGCACCGATCAATGTTTTTTTACCTGCTTTAGCTCTCTCCACAGCTTGTTAGAATTTCAAATGGTACAAGGCTGTTCATGGTTAGCTCTCTCAGACACTGGGATTGTTCTATGCAGGATTCTATTCTCTGGTGCATATGGGGGGGATTTGCCAGGGGTAGTGGGTAATCCTCAGACCCTGCTCCCCACCAAGTCTGCAGAATTCAGCCCAAAACATCAACCATGTGAAGGGGTTCCAGATTCAGAGCAAGCAGCTTCATATCCTCAGGCCCTCTAGGCCAGAGACTCCCAAACCTCTTCAATGAAACGGCACTCCCATTTTCTCGGGTGAATTGGTTGATTGGAAACGTGATGTTTACTTGCATTTACGATGCCACGATAGGAATGGTTGCGCCGAGCAATGGGTGAGGGTCACCCTCCCCACCCCAGCGCAGCCTCCTCCCTCCCTTTCTCACCATCCGTCTATCAAGCCGCCTCCCACAACGGGGCGGAAATCTTGTGGAGGCCATAGTGCGGCCCAGTCACAGAGAGGAAGCCTGGTCACTGCCTGCTCTACTCACCTGGTGTCAACTGAAAAAAAACAGCTTCCCCGAAAATTCCCCTCCCCCTCCCCGGCACCCTTGGCACGTTGTTGTGGCACAGCACGGCTCTAGACTGCCTCCACCTGGTCCTTATAGCCTCAGCGAGCGGATTGCCTTCAGAGGAAAAGCTGGGCCTGTAACCTCGGGAGTTTAGAAGAGTCAGAGGTGACTGAAACAGAGAGATCCCGAGGGGGCTTGACCAGCTGGGATGGGAGAATCCGAAACTAAAAGTCATTGTTTAAAAATAAGGGGGTGCCCATTTCAAACAGCGCTGAAGAACATGTTTCTCTCTCAGAGGGCTGTGAGTCTTTGGAATTCCCTTCCTCAAAAGGCAGTGGAAGCAGAATCTCTAAATAGTTTTAAGGCAGAGGGAGACAGATTCTTGATTACTGAGGGAGTGAAAGATTGTCAGGGGATAACGTAGAAGGGATAGTGGTTAAATTCAGATCAGCCCTGATCTTATTGAATGGTGCAGCAGGCTCGAAGGGACAAGTGGCCTATTTTTGTTTGTAGGGAGGGACAGACAGAGAAACCTGGGATCAACGGGCATGGAAGGATAAATGTACCTTTTGGTGAAGAGGGTTATTCAATCTCAAACGTTATGTTAGCTGTACAGCCCTGGCTGTCTCTATTTCTGGATGTCAGTCACCCCCACACTGATGTCAGGGAAATGTCTTACAGTGAGAATGATAAGCAATCAGTCTAAAACAATGGATCCACCTCATCTTTCTCATCCTCTCCCTCTCTCTCTCTCCCCACCGTCCTCATTCTCTCTCCTGCACTACCCTTGTTTTCCTGTCACCCCCACTCCCCCTCCCCCTCCCCTCCCCCTCGACACCCCTCCCCTCACCCCCCCCCCCACTCCCCCCGTTCCCCCTACCCCCCCCCCCACCTGTGCTCCCCACCCCCCGGACCTTGATTCTCCTCTCCCCACCCTCGTTCCTCCTCCCCCTCTCCCACCTCAGGAAGCCCCTTCCTCGATCTCCTGACTCTGTTGAAGGAGCCTGAGCCAAAGGCCAATGAGGAGATCGAGTGTCACGCTCTGACCGGGAGAGAAGCTGGTTTCCGGGTGACGGCTGCTCGAGTGGGGACCCTCCATCAGGTTTACTACCAACATGGCCAGGTGACGGTACCATGGGCCACCTCCAGCTGCCAATGCCCCATCGACAGGCTGTTCCTGGAGCTCCCTCACTGAGCCATTTCACTCAGTCTTTCCCCTCCAGCGGCTGTTTCTTCCAAAGGCCTTGGAGGTTTTCTCCAGGGAATGGCTCACAGCATTGTATTAGACAGCAATCCTCAAATCCCTGAGATTCATACAATCAGACAGTACAGCAAAGGCCCTTTGGCCCATCATTCTGTACCACCAGAAGTATGCTACAATCTACACTAGTCTGTTTCCTGGACTAGGTCCTTAGCCTTGAAAGTTAGGACATTTCGAGAGCTCATCCGAATACATTTTAAAGTTTGTGAGATTTTCTGCCTCAACTACCCTCCCAGGCACTGCATTCAGTCCATCCCCCACCACCCTCTGGGTGAAATTCCCTCCTGCCTTACACTTTAAAATGATACCCCCTTGTTATTGACTAAGGGGGAACACCTGCTTTCTATTCACCCTGTTCATGCCTCAAATTCCAGATCATGGCGCGATATGACCGTTCAGACAGGAGGAGACCATTCAGCCCATTCGGGGTTATATAGCCATTTTTAAAATTTGTTCACCGGATGTGGGCGTCGCTGGCTGAGCCAGCATTTATTGCCCATCCCTAGTTGCCCCTTGAGAAGGTGGGGGTGAGCTGCCTGCTTGAACTGCTGCAGTCCACCTGCTGTGGGTTGACCCACAATGCCGTTAGGGAGGGAATTCCAGGATTTTGACCCAGCGACAGTGAAGAAACGGCGATATATTTCCAAATCAGGATGGTGAGTGGCTTGGAGGGGAACTTGCAGGGGATGGTGTTCCCATGTATCTGCTGCCCTTGTCCCTCTGGATGGAAGTGGTCGTGGGTTTGGAAGGTGCTGTCTGAGGGTCTTTGGTGAATTTCTGCAGTGCATCTTGTAAATAGTACACACAGCTGCTACTTAGCATCGGTGTTAGAGGGAGTGAATGCTTGTGGATGTGGTGCCAATCAAGCGGCTGCTTTGTCCTGGACGGTGTCAAGATTCTTAAGTGTTGTTGGGGCTGCACCCATCCAGGCAAGTGGGGAGTATTCCATCACACTCCTGACTTGTGCCTTGTAGATGTGAACAGGAGTTGAGGAGTCAGGAGGTGAGTTTCTCGCCGCAGTATTCCCAGCTTCTGGCCTGCTCTTATAGTCACTGTATTTATGTGGTGAGTCCAGTTGAGTTTCTGGTCAATGGTAACCCCCAGGATGTTGATAGTCGGGGAATCAGTGATGGTAACACCATTGAATGTCAAGGTGCGGTGGTTAAATTGTCTCTTATTGGTGATGGTCGTAGCCTGGTCATTACTTAATCAGAATCATAGAATCCCTATAGTGTGGAACAGGCCCTTCAGTCCATCCAGTCCACACCAACTCTCTGAAGAGCATCCCACCCAGACCCTGCTCCTTTCCATATACCTGTAACCCCCATGGCCAATGCACCTATCCTGCACATCTTTGGACTGTGGGAGGAAACTGGAGCACCCAGAGGGAACCCACTCAGACACAGGGAGAATGTGCAAACTCCACACAGTCGCTGAGGTTAACATCGAACCCGCGTCCCTGGCGCTGTGAGGCAGCAGTGCTATCCACTGAGCCACCCATTTCACCCATGTGTACAGAACCTGTTCATCGCTGATCAGACAAGTCATTCTATCCAGCAGCCATCACCCCCACATGGTTGGAGTAATATAGACAACATTTAGATCTTTGATATGAACAATGACATAATCCAGGTGGGATCTGGGATGGCTCAATGTGGTTTGTCTGTCTGTTGAAACAGGATACTGTTAGACTGAGGCAGTGCTGGACACATTGATGGTGTTGATCTTTCCCTGAAGGTTCCTCTTCAGATATTGGAATCATGTCCCACCTCCCGCTGAACTCACCACCCCCCTCCCCCACCAAGAAACATCATCTTTTGGGAAGGTGGAATTCAAAGGTCAGGTTAGAACCTTTCCTTGACCTCATTGGAGTTGAGGGTCAAGGCAGAAGAGCTGATAGCAATGATGCAGTTGGAAGTCAACTGTTCTTTCCCCTCATTGAGGCTAACAATACCAATTTGGAGCCTTTCAATAATCCGTCTGGTACAGTATGGTCATTCTGGAAATTATTCAGGGATGCTTTAATATTGCAAGTTGCAAAATGTGCAACTTTTTCTTTGGCCACGTCAGTGGTGACCCCACAGAGTGGGATTCTCTGCCCTGGAGGAGAGTGCATTTCTGTAGCACCTTTTCAAGCCCCTTCCCCATTTCGAGCGGGCAGAGGGTATCCTCCATGACAGATACTGCCCACAGATGCTGCTGTCCCAATACAGATCCAATCACCTTCATGCTTCTCTCCCTATGTCCCGACCCTTGACTTGGAGTCACTGGTTCATGGTCCCCTCCCCAGACCTGTTCATCCCGGCCAGTGGACCTGGCAAATGGACGCTGGTGAAAGCTAGCACTGACTTTATCGATCGTGGGGACATTGGGGCCCTCAGTCTGGATGGATTGGTGACCAGATTGTGTTGATGGGGGTCAATTCACAGTGAACCATCTCACCCCCTACAGCCTTCGCCACTGTTGAGATGCACAGTCTTCCTTGATGTGGATGAGTTGTCAGACCATCCTTGTCCTGGCACCTCCCATCCCCTGATGGCAAAGGACTCCTGAAAGCATGGCGCAAGGAACCCTCTGAGCATGTGGGCCTCTTCACTACCTCGATGTGGTGACTTGTGAATGGAATCAGCGGGAGAGGGCTACAGATGTGATAAAACAGAAACATCCCTGTACACGACCATACATAGCACTGCACCTAAAGCGTGGGGTCAATCTAGAGCAAGAGCCCCCTAAAATGCCCTAAGAACAGTGCACCCATCCCTTTGTTTAAGGAATGCCAGGGTGAGGGCTTTTTCTTGAATTCTGCCCCCTAGGAATTGACTGGGAAGAAGCGATGGGCCGAACGTCCTTTTTCTGTGCTGTAGATTATGCTTCTGTGCCTTGCTGTCCTTAACTGTAATGGATTTTGGGTTAGCTTTGCAGTGAAGAGACAGTAAAATGAATGGGATGGAATACACGAGTATCCAGGCTATCCCTAACCGTCTGTTTTCGGGGTTTTATTTAGCTTTCTGAGAGCCTCTGTACAACATCCGAGATCAGGAAGCATGCCCAGAACTCCTTAGACAACCTCGCTCCAAAACACAAGCATCTTCAGGATCCTGTTCCCTACCAGGTATGAGGTCAGAGCTGAAGCCTGCAGCTGTAAGTTCTACTTTAGACAGTTGTTAATGAAGGATCCTCACAGTAAACGTGGCCTTTATCAGGTTCTGTTCCACAGGCACCGTTCACCCCCTGGTTTAAACTCCAGTTTGGCTATTGGCAGGTGGGAATTCAGCCAGAAATGGTCTCTGCACCTGGTGGGTGGTGGGGTTATTTACCAGGGGTCATCTTAAGCTAACCCCCAAACTTCTCACAGTGGTAGGGGAATGACCCCATGACCGTGTCTGGATTAGTTGCTCCTCAGTGGGTTAGCACTCTCACCTTGGAATCCATAAACTATGGATTTGATTCCCACTCCAGGTACATGAGGATACAACACAGTTTGGAGCTGGAGGAACACAGCAGGCCAGGCAGCATCAGAGGAGCAGGAAAGCTGACGTTTCGGGTCGGGACCTGTCTTCAGAAATTCTTCAGACCCCATTTCCTCTGATGCTGCCTGGCCTGCTGTGTTCCTCCAGCTCCACACTG